GAGAGAGAGAGAGAGAGAGAGAGAGAGAGAGAGAGAAAGAAAGAGAGGGGGGGAGTGAGAGAGACAGACAAAAATAGAGACATGTAGAGACAGACGGAAGGAGGAAAAGGTGATCTGTTGTGGGTACGATCCTGTTGTCAGTTAGACAAAGAATAACACTTCCTCTGCTTCTAGTGACATAGCAAGTGATTTATCAGTTTATAATATATCAACGTTCAGTTTTCCGTTACTGGCTTGTAACTAGTTGGTTGATTGGTTAGTTGTTTCATTGTAATTTGTTCGTTGATGGATTGGTTAGTTGGTTGCAGATGTCTCCGATAGTTCTATGAAGGATCATATTGTAAGTAGGTTCATAGTTTGCTCTTTGATGGATTGGTTAGTTTGCTGGATTGTTTGTTCTTTGATTGATTAGTAAGTTGGTTGTTTGTCCATTTGTTCGTTGACGGTTTGATTAGTAAATTGGTTGTTTGTTGTCAAATGAACTGACTAGTTGGTCCAATGTTTATTCTTTGATGGAATTATTAGTTTGTTAATTGTTTATACTTTAATAGACTGAATAGTTGGTTTATTTGCATGCTGGTTCGTTCCTTTTCCATGATTGGTATATTTGCCTGTCATGTAACGCTAGGTTCTTCCACGCTGCGCGGAGATGGCAGGGGTTTGATTCTTTGAGGGAAAGTTATTTCATGAAGTATCTCTGTCTGCGTGTTGGTGGGCTGTATCGCAGTGGATGGTTGGCAGGTGCTCTGTATGTGGCTTGTTCCTTTTTTCTTATCAAACATCTATCGTCTTTATCCCCCCTCCTTTTATTTCTTCTTTCGTTTGTTGCTCGATTGTAATATGTCTAATCTTCAGCACTTGTATGACCTAGTTGTCTTACAAGATACGTAAATCGCTGATCAAAACATAAAAGTGTTAATGCTGTTTCGCAGCCAGCCTTTTTAGCCCTGGTATGCAAGGTCGAAGCAATGCGCCTCCTACAATGCTTAAACTGTGTCCATGAGGGTGATATATATTTTACAGAAAAATTATATTAGTGATTTGTTCATTTGTTAGTTTAGAAATAAACAGATTATTATTAATTTTTTTCTTTTACTGATTGACTGGCTTGTATATTTCATTGACCCGACGTTTTGAATACCATACCACATTATTATTTCGTGTTCAGTAAATATTGTCATGTCTCATTTGTTTTATTTCTGTGGATTTCAGGAACGTTTCTTCATTCCTTCCGAAAATAGACACATTAATAGAAAAAACAAACACTTTTTAAAAAGTAACCACCGAGAAAATCCCCGTGAAGCACTATGGAATACTTCAACATCTCTGTAGAAAGTGCCGTGAGCCTGTATGACGACTTGATGGACAAAGGGGGTAAGTACATAAAGGCTGGAGGGTTCTTGTGGTTTCCCGTGGTCGTGGTATTACTGTTGTTACTGCAGTTGTTGCTGTTGTTGTTGCTGTTGTTGTTGCTGTTGTTGTTGCTGGTGCCTTTGCTGTACCTGTTGCTGTTGGGGTTGTTGTTGTTGTTGTTGTTGTTGTTGTTGTTGTTGTTGTTGTTCGTATTGTTATTGTTGTTAGTGGTGGTGATGATGGTGGGGTTTGTGTTGTTGTTGTTGTTGTTGTTGTTC